AAAGACAAAGGGAGGTCTGTTTTGGGGAAGCTGGCTGCATTCCATGTGCAAGAGCCCATTTCACTGTGTGCTTTTAGCCTGCTGTTTATAAGTGTTTATCACATCCAGCACTCCGTTGTCCTGGAGACACCGCTGGCAAGTGCAGGTCATCCTGTCAGCACACATGTTATGAAGTCAGTAACACAGCCAGCTGTAGCACAAGCTATTCTGTCGACATGCATGGGAAAATCAAGTTCACAAATCAAAACAATCACACGTCCTATATGACAAATGTTGTCAAGTGATATATGCATGCATATTTTCAGTTACTGCATGCATTTGTCATCTGTTCTGCACATATCCCTGGGCTATGAGCTCTTAAGATTTCATTTCAACAATAACCTCACCTGCCAGATCCTCTGCCTCTGGGCATGCATTGGGCGGAGAGTAAAGTTTTGTGTTCATATTCTCCCCTCACCCCCTCCTCCATCTCCACCTCCACCCACCCCTTACCTCATCTCACAAACATATAAAAATCAATCAGCCTGGTCTGTGCGCCGCATTCCCTCTCCCTCCAGCAAAAAAGAAACTCTCCTCCGCACCGCAGCAATGACATCCTTCAGCAGCCGTAGTTATGTGTCCTCTGGAGGGGGCTTCGGTGGAGGCTCCCTGCGGGGTGCTTCTCTTGGAGGCATGTCTTCCTCTTCAATGATGGGTGGAGGAAGCCGTATTAGCTCCATGCGTGCTGGTAGTGTATATGGGGGTGCAGGAGGCCGTGGGGTCCGTATCTCCTCTGCAGCTGGCGGTGGCGGAGGAGCAGGTTTTGGCTTTGGTGGAGGTGCTGGTGGTGGAGGAGGTTTCGGGTTCGGTGGTGGTGCTGGAGGAGGCTTCGGAGGAGGTGATATGGACCTCAACGTGACCGTCAATGAGAAAGCAACCATGCAGAACCTGAACGACCGTCTAGCAACTTACCTTGACAAGGTGCGCTCGCTGGAGAAGGCCAACGCAGATCTCGAGCTGAAGATCAGACAGTTTCTGGAGAGCAAAACCTCCCCTGCTGCGAGAGATTACTCTGCCTACCAGGCCACAATCAAGGACCTGCAGGACAAGGTAATGCTACTTTAAAACATCTCTTGCACAAGGCATTGTTTTCATAGCTGCAGGATTATGGGTGTGGTCCTGTCCTCATTGTGTGTGCACTTTTGTTGATGTTCAGTGGTTGCATGTGACAAAAATAAGACAATATTTGAATATGTACTGCATGATTTAAAATTTGACAGATTTGTTTAAAAAAAGTCTCATTATCTTTGACAGATCCAAGATGCCACCCGTGTGAACGGAGGAGTCTACTTGGCAGTTGATAATGCGAAACTGGCTGCAGATGACTTCAAGACCAAGTAAATAAAAACATACTTTGTTGAAAATGATTTTTGTGTCTCACAATGGAGGTAAATGTCACAGATAAACCGTTCTGTTTTGCTTCGTTCAGGTACGAGAATGAGTTGACCATGCGTCAATCTGTCGAAGCAGACATTGCAGGGCTGAAGAGACTACTGGATGAGCTGACGCTGGCCAGATCTGACCTGGAGATGCAGATTGAGGGCTTAAAGGAGGAGCTTATCTTCCTCAAGAAGAACCATGAGGAGGTAAAATCTCTCAGCTGAGAAGGTAGTCGAACGTAAGGCACTATTATCCTCAGAAGCATGTCATCCTAAAATTCTATTCTCTGTAGGAACTGGCAGCCATGCGCTCTCAGATGTCAGGATCAGTGAATGTAGAGGTGGATGCAGCTCCACAGGTAGATCTGAATCATGTGATGGCTGAGATCCGTGAGCAGTATGAGAATGTTGCTGCCAAAAACCAGCGTGACCTAGAGAACTGGTTCCAAACCAAGGTAGATAAGGGCAAATAAATCTGTGTTCTTTGAACAAAACTGGAACAATCCATCCTTCAAACTGTGACCATAAGTGATGGCTGACTAATGTATAAATGTTCTTTATTTGCAGTCAGAAACATTGACTAAGGAGGTTGCTGCCAGTACAGAAACAATTCAAGTGTCCAAAACTGAGCTCACTGAGCTCAGACGCACCCTTCAAGGCCTGGAGATTGAATTACAGTCAGAACTCAGCAAGGTAAGTATGTGTGAGTGTGTCAGGAAACATCTTGAGTCAAGATGGTTTCCTTAAAACCACAGCTGAAATAAACAGTCTAAACCAGGGGTGTTCAAACTCAGTCCTGAAAGGCTGTTGTCCTGCTGAGTTTAGCTCCAACTTGCTTCAACACACCTGACATGAAGTTTCTAGTATATCTAGTAAGAGCTTGATTAGCTGGTTCAAGTGTGTTTGATGAGGATTGAAGCAAAACTCTACAGCACACTCCAGGACCAAGTTTGAACACCCCTTTTCTAAACCATACAAGCAAATTCGCAGGTCTTCACTTATTCAAGTTGATTCCCCTTGTTTGCGTGCATTTTCAAACATCACATAAGAAACAAATAACACAAAGGCCATATTTTGGATATATAATTGAAGATAATCTTAATCAATTGACCTGATAGAAGCAGCAGAGCCATCTCAGACTGATTTAAGCTGTTTATTTACCAGCTGATTGATTGAACATGTACAACTTCCACTAAATATGGTCACTATCTCTCACTTTACAGTAATACATACCTGCCACCTCCTTTCTATTCTACAGAAAGCATCTCTGGAGGGAACTCTTGCAGACACTGAAGCGCGGTTCTCCAGGCAGCTGATGAACCTGCAGACTCAAGTAACAAATCTGGAGGAGCAGATTGTTCAGCTCAGAGCCGACATGGACAGACAGGGCCAAGAGTACAAAATGCTGCTGGATATCAAGACCCGACTGGAGATGGAGATTGCGGAGTACAGAAGACTGCTGGATGGGGGAGCAAGCAGGTAGGAGATGTTGGAAGATGGATATTTATGTGAGTGTGCTTGTGCGAAACATACAATAACAGATTTTTTTTTTTTTTTTCATTTTCAGCATGATAAGTACTGGTGGAGGTGGTGGTGGTGGCAGCAGCAGCACCAGCAGCAGCTCTACCAAAAGCATCACTGTGAAGACCATAGTGGAAGATATTGTCGATGGACAAGTGGTGTCAAGTAGTAAAAAATAAACACCAAATCAAACACTGCTCTTCACCTGTCTCACCAGTCTTCAGGGACTGATGTTGAGAATAAAATCAGTGATGGCACAAAAAAATGGTTGTGGGTGTTTTTACTGCTTTAAGCCAGTATGAACATTCTTGATTCACATTTCTTGAATACAAATTGTGATGCAATACATTTCATTTGACATATTATCGCCCTGGAATCATAAGGTTCTGTCTGCATTCTAAATGATTTTAAGATGTTGACCTTCAAGTTTTACATTCCATACAGCAAACAATATGCGTCCAACAGTTCTCTTTCGTACATTAACATGACAGAGACCCTAAATGTACTCTAAATGTAAATTATCCAAATTCCCTTAAATGTACAAATTGGGCTAAAAAAAAAAAAAACAAGGCAAATGCAGAAAGAAACTTTTACTTCTAAAAAGTCATTTTCTACCTAGAATTATGTGGTTCTTTCTGGCAGATCATTAACTGAAGCATTATTTGTAAAGAAATACAATCACAAAAAAATAATTGGTGTTTTAACAATTTGTTGATGCTTAAGAAAGTAAAAGTTTTGCTTACTAAAATATGTATTTAATGTTTTAGAATGATTTTTTTTCTTGTTCAAATTAAGCAAACAAGGCTGTGCTAAACATTTTGTTCAGTGCAGATGTTAATTTATGTAATTAATTAGGTGATATTTATTGAATTATATTTATTGAATGATATGCCCTATACATTAAATTAATTATTTGCCCTTCAAGTCTTAATATCAAATTTAAAGACTTTAAAAGAAAACAGATAATGAGCAAGGGTGAGGCAGTGGCGCAGTAGGTAGTACTGTCGCCTCATAGCAAGAAGGTTGCTGGGTTGCTGGTTTGAACCTCGGCTCAGTTGGTGTTTCTGTGTGGAGTTTGCATGTTCTCCCTGCCCTTGTGTGGGTTTCCTCCGGGTGCTCCAGTTTCCCTCACAGTTCAAAGACATGTGGTACAGGTGAATTGGGTAGGCTAACTGTCCGTAGTGTGAATGTGTGTGTGTGGATATTTCCCAGAGATGGGTTGTGGCTGGAAGAGCATCTGCTGCGTAAAGTTGCTGGATAAGTTGGCTGTTCATTTTGCTGTGGCGACCCCGGATTAATAATGGGACTAAGTCGACAAGAAAATGAATGAATGAATGAGATAATGAGCAAATGAGTTAAATAAACACTGAAAAATGTTTCACTGACTATATATTCACAAATAAAAATATTTCACATTTAATATATACTTTTGAATAACTGTTTTCAACAATGTAAAACTTAACATTTCATCTTAATGTCAAAAACGCTCTTAAATCATCATGTACACGCATCTTTTCAGTTTCCGGTTTCTTAATTTTGTGTGACTGGCTTGGCTTGTTGGATGGTCATCATAACCACATTTGTTGATATAATATAAAAGTATAAAAATATTTCCTAAAAATTTAGAATAAAAGACATGTAAAAAAAATATAAAATACTTATTTTTAAAATACAAATTTATTATCATATATCATTAGAAAAAAAGTTTTAAATTAAAAACTGCGGCCTATTGTCAGTTATTAAACAAACAACAAACTGACCAGCACATTCAACTTTCCTCAGTCGGAATTTGGCCATTTCAATAAAAAATATTGCTAAGAAATTTAGAATAAAAGTTACTTGTAAAATGCTTCATCTATTTTAAAATACAGTAGCGAAAGACAGTTGGATGTTGGACTCATACAAATATTTATTAGCATTGACCAAATCTAATTAACTGAAATCACAGCCAACATAGGATTCCGCTTGTTCTTTTTTGATGGGTTATTTTTACTATTTATGATGGCATAGCAGTTAAAATAGGACAAATGAGCTCATTATGGGACTAATCCTGGACCTTTGTTCAATTCAATTGAATTAATCTTTATTTCTATAGCAGTTTTACAATGTAGTTGTGTCAAAGCAACTTCACATAGAAGATTATAGTGAATTAAGACAGTGTCAGTTCAGTGTCAGTGAAGGGTATGTCTTCTGAAACAGCTGAAGCACCCTGGGTTTGAACAGAAAGGATTAGTAATACAAATGATGTCCTCATTTGAACTGCTTTTTTGAAAAGATTAGTCTAGATTAGTCATCAAGTTCAAGAACATCCACAGTCTCGCTGCTCTCCACAATCCTCCCATCCACAATGGTTTCCATCACTGTGATGGTTTTGGTGAGAAGTTCTAAAAGACAGTGAGAAAATGTCTAATCAGCAGTGCACTCCAATGCTTCACAGTCATATAATGCATTTATACCTTGTTTATCATTGTTTTACTCACTATAGATATTCACTTACTGTGGTTCTCACTGAAAAAAAGATTGTGAGATAGTATTAGTAAAGCATTAATTAAACATGTCTTTCCACAAAAGTCAGCATCCATTAAATCATAAGATTATTATGAATGAATATCGCAAGCATCACCTCTTTTCTCCATCCAGCAGTCTCCTGTATTCTGCAATCTCACGTTCCAGTCTGGTCTTTACGTCCAGCAGGGTTTCGTACTCTTCTTTGTTGTTAGCAATGTTAGCGTGAAATTGGCTAAGCTGGTCCTCCAGATTGGAAACAGTGGTCTGAAGCCCAGCCAACTGGTTCCCATAGCGGGCCTCTGTGTCCTCTAGTTGCCCATCAAGGTTTGACTTCTGTGAATTTATATACATGCATATATTTAGATTAATAATAATAATGAATGATTTGTAATTTACTGGACAAAATTCACACGCAGCATTGTTGAATGTTATTTGGTGCAAGTGTAAAACAGATATTTTTGTAGACACTATCTCCTGTTTAAACAGTCTATCTCTTGTCCTTCCAAATGAGTAAGCAAAGGAAATTACAGCACATTTCCCCTGACTGCTGTAAAGCTGGCAAAGTTCTGGTTGGCGAACTAAAAGGGGTGAGGCTGGAACTCACGGACAGTTGAAACAGCCTGGCACAGCACGTTCTGCCTAGACATGTTGCCACAGACTTTTAACCATGCTGCATTGCTTCTTCTTCTTCTTCTTCTTCTTCTTCTTCTTCTTCTTCTTCTTCTTTTGCAATAAAATCAATTGTGTGTTTGTAAGTGTGTACAGGTTTACCATGCTCTGATGGGTTTGCAGCTCAATCTGCAGTCTTTGTAAGGTGCTTGTTAAGTCCTTTAGCTCAGTTCTGCTGTCCTGAAGCTCTTCATTATGATTGCTCACCTCCTGTTGCATTGGTGCCATCTGTGGTTAATATAAAAATGATAAAACAACTAAAGTTGTAATCAGAACTATTAACCCCCTGAATTATTAGTCCCTGTTATTTTTTCCCTTAATTTCTGTTTAACTGAGAGGTTTTTTCAGCATATTTCTGAACATATTAGTTTTAATTACTCATTGATTAAATGAGTAATTAAAAAATAACTGATTTTTTGATCTTTGTCATCATGACCGTTAATAATGTTTGACTAGATATTTTTTCAAGACACTACTATACAGCTTAAATTGACATTTAAAGGCTTAGGTTAATTAGGATAACTATAGGCAGGTTAGGGTAATTGAGCAAGTTATTGTATAATAAGGGTTTGTTCTGAAGACTATCGAAAAATATTTAGCTTAAAGGGGCTAATAATTTTGATCTTAAACTGGTTTTTAAAAAATTAAAAACTGCTTTTATTCTAGCCGAAATACAACGAATACGACTTTCTACAGAAGAAAACATATTATCAGACTGTGAAAATGTCCTTGCTATATTAAATATCATTTGGAAAAATATTTAAAAAAGAAAAAAAAATTCAAAGGGGGCTAATAATTCTGACTTCTAACTGTATAATAACATGTGCACTGCATTCCACTCACTGCAAAAAAAAAAAAAAAAAAAAAAACATGCTTCCCATGCTTGTTTTTGTCTGGTTTTTAGTCCAAATATGTAAAAATTCTTAAATCAAGAAGCATTTCTTGAAAAGTTAATTGTTTTGTCTGTTTCTGAAATATTAAGTCAAAATGAGGTACGTTTTTACTTAAAACAAGCAAAACAATCCATTGATGGGTAAGCAAAATAATATTATTTCAAAGGAAAAACAAGAAACTATTTTGCTTATCCCACTGGCAGATTATTTTGCTTGTTTTAAGATAAAAATCAATTCATTTTGATTTATTATTGATTTATTACTCAAGAGATTATTTTTGCTAGTCTAGAAAATGCTTCTTCACTTAAGAATGATCAGATATTAGATATTTGGATGAGAAATAAGACAAAAACTCAAAGTAAGAAGGTGCTTTTTTTTTTTTTTTTTTGCAGGGCTACAAAGCCATTTTATTTTATTAATCATGGATGAGTGACTAAATCTATGGGGTTAAACTGAAAACTCAAATTCAGCAAATCTATTATTTTCACACCTGTAGTTTAATAGACTTAAGTAAAATAATGGGTATTGAACTTTGATTTAATGGAGAAAGTATGGAACTTATAGTGGGAAAACAGTGTGAAGCATTTTATACTTCCAACTTCTATATATATGCCTATATTGAAACTAGACACTTCTCATTATTAACATATTATTAATTTATTGCCTTGTCTTACTAAATTTTACCTTAAAATTTCACACACACAAAAAAAACAAATTTTTATTCTCAGAATAGATTTTGATGTGTATGTGAATTCTATGAAATTTTCAAAATTCTATTGCATATTAAGAGTCCTTTTGGGGGGTAAGTCTTATAAACATACATCCTTTCCTGTGATTTGAACTTATTTAACCCTCTTTGTTCCTGATGTAGTTTTTTTTTTTTTGTAAAAGTGTTCTTTCTTTGCATAACAACAATAACAATTGCTAAAAAAACAAACAAACAAAAACTGTATAACCATACCTTTTACTACAAGCACCATGGTTAAATTATACATTTAATTATCAGTGGTTCATTTGTGGTTGCCATGGTTTAATTAAAAACTTTTTGCAGTAGCAGTGGTAAAACCAAATACTAGTATTAAATAGTAGTAAGTAGTAGTAGTAAAAAAAATTCAAACTAGTTGAGTGCAAGAGTTTTTTTTTTTTTTTTTTTACTTCACCTTGCTTTCATACCAGGACTCCAGCTCTTCACGGTTTTTCTGTGTCACAGTCTCATAGTGTTGTCGGATCTCATCAATGGCCTGATTCAGATCCATAGAGGGCGCTGCGTCCACAGAGACATTCACCTGACCGCCAGTCTCAATAGTCAAGGTGATATTCTGTAAAAGCACAAGTCAGAAAGTGTGTGATCTGGCACTGAGATGGATTGTAATATGATGCAGACATGCTACTAATGTTCTATCTGTAGATTAAAATCAATTTAAAAGCCATGGGAGTGGTGGGATGAGCTAGTCTTTTAATCCCGAACATGTTTGAACAATTTCAGAAGAGTGAAATCTAATCTTTACTTCAAGTGAGATTTTAAAGGAATAGTTCACCCAAAATTTGTCATTATTTACTCGCACTTGTTTCGAACTTTTGTGAGTTTATTTCTTCTAACATCAAAAGAAGATATTTTGAAAAATGTTACCATTGAGTTTTTATATATTTGCTTTTCCTTCTATGAAAGTCAATGGCTACAGGTTTTTATTTACCTTCAAAATATTTTCTTTTATGTTCAACTGAAGAAAAGAAAACTCACAAAGGTTTGGAACCACTTGAAGAAGAGTAAATATGTAAGTAAATTTTCATTTTCAGGTGATCTATCCCTTTAAGTGTAATTTAACAATATCACTATTTGTTGATTTTATAGAAGAATTCCATACATTGGCAATTAAATCAAGCTTTTTAGTTTTATGTGTATGTGTCTAATTTTGTTTATACATGAATGATGGATGACCTTTTGTAGACCCGTGAAGCTCAAGTGATAATACTGTTTAGTTTATAATGATGTAATGGAACGGAAATCCCCAGCAGAGCAGCAGCAGCAGAACCAAAGGAAAAAGGGAAAATCGAAGGAAGGAAGAAACACTCTTAATGACCCTGTGTGTGTGTTTTTCTGGTGTGGAAACTCTTATCTCTGAAAAGGCCACTAACAGAATGGGCCGCTATAGTAACTTAACCTTAACCAATCTGTCTTTCACATGTTTTTATAAGGGGAGAAAAATAAATGTTCTTTCCATCTACAGCAGGTTTAGAGAAATACTCTTGTACAAAATCTTTTTTTTTTTTTTGAAATGTGTATGTGAATTCTAAAAACAACAGCAAAAAAGCCTCTTTTGAACTGTTGAAGGACTCCTTACACTTTTATCTGTGCTTTAGCAGCATTCACTGAAATCTAAAAGTATCAGCTTTAAAGATTGAGTGCTACTGTTATCAATATTGTGTATCAATATGAGTCAATATTGTACTTAGATATCAGTTACGAGTCTGTAATTTCCGGAGGATTTGTCCTGTGTTCTGTGTGGGTGTGTTTCTGTCTGTTTGTTGGAGGGCTGGTATTTGAGGAGTTCTCACTTTAGGAAACGATCCATAACTTTACTTTTCAGTTGAGTTGAGATTTTTCAGAAGGTATAAACTCCCTCTGAGCAGTACTGCTATCTGCTGAGTGTTGTCTATGGGAACTAATTTGTCATGACAAAGCAACTGAATGTCACTTTTCAAAAGTACAAACTCCAAGATCAGCCTTGTGCTACTTTGTATCCCCTTGTAGAAAATTTCATGGATCACGAATGCTAATGTAGCAATTCATAAACATAATATTTAAAACGACCATTTGTAGCTGTGAAAAGTAATTTGGATAATTATGATAGATAAGTAACAACATAAAACAATCCATTAGAGCAAAAAATATATTTTTAAATATTTCTTTTAAAATAAAATAAAATAAAACTGAATATGTTGCAAATACCGTAAAAAATTTTAACAAGCACATTTTTGCTCTTTTTGTATTTTTTAAAATATATTTTAACAATAATATTTAAAAGCCTTTAGAATGGATTTGCCTACATTTTTCTAAGAAAATACTTTAACATATATTTAAGATCCTTTAGGAAAATCTTTATTTGGATTCTAAACTGTCTACTTTAAACAAGCGAAAAACAAATATTGTCACACATCTAGACAAAAATCTCAGCTTTATTTGAAAAGTTATATATTAGTTACATTTATGCTGCTCTGTTCTGTAAGCTATTTCTCAACTTGTTTCTTCTAAATCAAAACCTTTAACATATTTTCATCTTAAGCATACACTAAAACATATTTAGAAAAAAATATTTATTATGTGAAATTATTTTATTTAAAAATTTATTTTATTGACCCTTACAGTTACAAAATATTATATATAATAGCATACAGTTGAAGTACAAATTATTAGCCTTCCTGTGAAATTTGTATACTTTAAAAAACATTTGCCGAATGATGTTTAACAGTGACATTTATTCAACAACATTCACATATTCATATTCACAAGAGTGCCAAAAACTAATTTCTATCAACTAATTAATTTAGTCTTTGCCATGATGATAGTATATAATATTTTCTAGTTATTTTGCTTGATTAAAGTGTAATTAAAGTGCTTAACTAGGTTAATTAGATTAACTATGCAAGTTAGATTATAACTAGGCAAATCTTTAGACTGTTCAGTAGCCCAGAGGTTCTCAAAGTGGGGGTCGGGACCCCCCGAGGGGTCGCAGGACAATGAGGGGGGGGGGGGGGGTGGTTGCCTGGTGATTACTAAAAATCTATTTATTTTTATTAAACCATAATAATTACAATATTTTATCCATAACCTACTGAAAAGAAAAAATAGTCATTTATAGTTACAATACACTCCTGTATATAGTTACTATAGCTTGTAGTTACTTGTTCTTTTGGATTGCAACCCCTGGGGTAATTACATTATATTAAAGACAAAGCAATAGCGTCAGTTGAAGCAGATTGATTTTATAACACCAGGTTAAAATGTCTGGCACATCTACAGCACTCACATATTACAAAAAAACTCAACGAAAAATAGACTTGGGGCTATTGGTGTGTGCGCGCCATTGCATGCAAGGTTTCTGTATTTATAACCCCCTCAGAAGATATTGGGGGTCGGGAGTCACTGGCATTGCTATTTTAGGTGTCGTGTTTGGGACCCCTGCTGTAGCCAACCCAAGGGGTTTAACAATACTCCCTTTAAATATTGATTCAGTTTTTTCAGTCACCCCCCCCCCCCCCAGCCAAACTATGAGCAACCATTGTTTTTCCGAATAAACAATATTATAGTAATACTTTGCAAATTTTCTTACTATGTTAACATCGTATTTTAAAAATAATCCAAATTCCAAAGGAAGGCTTATAATCTTGCCTTTAACTCTATATTTAAAATATACTTTAGTCAGGGAAAAAAAATGAATAATAAAAAGGTTGGCAAACTTGTTAGTTTTAATGTAATGGAAAGAAAGACACAAAATATGCTTTGTTTACACACAAACCACATCACCAAACCACTTCACCATGGTGATATTTACTGTATACAGTGCAGTGGAAATGTTTCCGTCTTTGGGCTTACATAACAGCTTTGTGTAAAACAGGAATCAATTTGTGGGTGGAATATCTGAATGACCATGCTCATGTTCAATGCCCCGAATAGAATTCCTGTCATGGTAACATAAGTGCTAGATTTTTCTTTTTAAAGAGTATATAATAAAACACTGTTGATCTAAACACCAGTCAAGTGACTTATGTGTAATTGGATGAAATTAAAAAAAGAGTTTTTACAAATTGAACCATAAAGCCCCACTGATGTTTCTTCACAGATGCAGGTTAAGATGGGAAATAAGTGTGATATATCGTACCTCCTTGTGGTTTTTCTTCAGTACGATGAATTCCTCTTTCAGAGCCTCAATCTGCAACTCCAGATCCGAACGACTCAAACTAAACTCATCCAGGATTTTCCTCAGATTTCCAGTATCAGCTTCAATTTCCCGACGCATGGCCAGTTCATTTTCATATCTAAGAATGATGATGATTCATAATTTTATTTACCAATTAATGATCAGTTAAATCAATTCCAAGACATGAATATTCAGTTTCTCACTTTCGTTTGAAGTCATCAGCAGCCAGTTTGGCATTATCCACTTCCAGGATGAGTTTGGCATTGTCTTGGGAACGTGTGTTAAACTGCCAGGTAAAATATAAATATAGTAAAAGGATATTTACTGCCTAACACAAATGATTCTACATACTCTAAACAGCATGTGCCAAGGACTTGTCAGTCTTTTTGGGAGTTTACAGAAAATATGCCCCCGCAACATTGAATTCCTAATGACTTGTCTTGTTACGCAATAAATTATCTGGCACCTAGAGTTGTTTTATTTTCAGAGCAGTTTTCTGTGTGTCTGTGGAATTCAGCATAGGCCACAAACCTGATAAAATCTTGTTCAGTCTGTTTCTGAACATGTTTGCCAAGTAAAAAATACTGTATGTACTTAATAAGCTATTACGTTACTTTGCTTCATAGTTTTAGTCATACTAAGCATATAAAGCAGTATTCTATATATTGTGCTGTACTCTTAAAAATGTAGTATTATTTGGCATTTTTTAATCCACAAAAGGAATTTTTTATAATCTAAAAGTTCTTCAGATCATAAAAAAATTTGTGTTAAAACCTCTCCAATGTAAGGTTCTTCAAGGAACTGGCATTGATGCTGATATACACTACCTGACAAAAGTCCAAGTTTTAGAAAAACAAATAATAACTTAGTTGATCATTTGGTATCAAAAGTAGCTTATATGAAATTAAATAAAGCATGATCATGTCTTGATTTTTAATTATTTAGATAGGACAGCAAGGCCTGACTTTGCTTAGACAAAAGTCTTATCACGTAAAAGAAATAATGTCCAGTATAGAAAATAAAGTGATAAATATTGTGTATGACTCCCATGAGCTTAGAGGACTACATCCATACATCTCTGCAATGACTCAAATAACTTATTAATAAAGTCATCTGGAATGGCAAAGAAAGCGTTCTTGCAGGACTCCCAGATTTCATCAAGATTCTTTGGATTCATCTTCAATTCTTCCTCCATCTTACCCCAGACATGCTCAATAATGTTCATGTCTGGTGACTGGGCTGGCCAATCCCTGAGCACCTTGACCTTCTTTGCTTTCAGGAACTTTGATGTGGAGGCTGAAGTATGAGAAGGACTGCTGACCTGCTGAAAAATTTGCCCTCTTCTGTGGTTTGTAATGTAATGGGCAGCACAAATGTCTTGATACCTCAGGCTGTTGATGTTGCCATCCACTCTGCAGATATCTTGCACGCCCCATACTGAATGTAACCCCAATCCATGATTTTTCCTTCACCAACTTGACTGATTTCTGCGAGAATCTTTGGTCCATGTGGGTTCCAATAGGTCTTTTGCAGTATTTGCGATTATTTGGGTGCAGTTTAACATGATTTATTGGAAAAATCCACATTCTGCTATGTTTCCAAATGATCAACCTTTCTCTTTCAACTATGATCGACAACAAGACTTTTGTCAGGTTGTGTATATGTACACACAACAATTCTTTCTGTTTTTCAAATCTGATTGGCCACGAGTATTCAACAAGTATCAGCACTGTTGCAGCTTCTTCATCTGTGCGTAGCATAAGGACCCTTCTGATGGAAACTTGGGTGTACACACACTTGGTTATCTGATCCATTTATGTTTAATCCCCAAATCCTGGTTCATCTTCCAATTGTGAGTGCTTTGATTAGCAGGTGTCCTGACATTTTATCCTACTTATCTGATTATGCTATCAACACTGTATTTGAATGGGTCTGAGGTTGGGGTTAGGCATTAGGTAGGTCAATAAAATTTATACTGGTAGCAAAATCTGGTCATCAAAATGTGCTACCTGCTTTTTAAATGGCCAAGGCATGGTTTTGTTGACTTTGCCCAATCATAAAACTGAAGAAACAACACGATGTTTAAGGACTGCTTCATATTGATTTATTACTCATTCTTAGTTTCAAGTAACACAAACAGTTATAGAGTCATGCTGCACTTCATCTGCCAACTTCAGCAAACCTCCTAATATGTGCATCCCAAGCGACTTAAAATGATGCAAAACAAGTGAGTGAGTGAGAGCACTTCCATTTCTGTTTAACTAAACAGTTGCATCCTCTATGATGTAAGAATTCTCAGGCTGGAAGGTATAAATGCAGGGTGAGTGTGGGCCATCGGGGTAGAGGGGAGGGGGACAATTTAGCTTGGGGTTGATTTAAGGAAACCGTGCCTAATGTCAGTATTTTGGAGTCTGATAGATGTCTCTAGTTATATGTGCAATATCATTAATTTTTTGGTACATCTAAAGGCAATATTTGGTTTGTGGATGTGGCAAAGTAAACAGACAAAATAAAGACAATACAGAGCATTGAAATAATTAAAATACTAAGTTCTAAAGTGACGTTTTTGAGTTAGCAACGGCTTTTCCAGCTTTGATGATCAGTTGCAGATATGAATGCATGGTGGAAGAAAGTTTTATAATAACTAACCTCATTCCTCAGATCCTGGATGGTGTCCTGGAAGTTTGTGTGGTCGAATGTGACGTCATCGTGACTATCATACCAGTCACTGATCTTCTGCTCTAGCTCAGTATTGGCTTTCTCCAGTGAGCGTACCTTCTCCAAGTAGGAGGCCAGACGAGTATTCAGATTCTGCATGGTGGCCTTTTTATCAGCAGATAAGTCTAAGCCATCAACCAGATTAAAGCCTCTTGGAGAAGAATTAAGAAACCCGGCGGGGGATGAGATTCGGGTTCCCCGACCACCAGCTCCTCCATACACGCTGAGAGTTTTGGAGTTAGAAGTGAAAGACATGGTTTTGTCCTGGTCAAACTGAAACGCCAAAGTGGGAGACAAGTAAACGACTCAAGCTTTTGACTGTGACTTTGTCAGATTTCAAAAATCTATAAATACCTGCCAGTCTTTGGGGGAGGGGAGAGGACATTTTGTTTCCCAGGAACAGGTGGGTATGAACGCTTGTCCTTCAGAACCCGAATGGCAACATTTTTATGCTCTTTAGAATCAAACTGTGACATTTCCTGCCCTGGACTGAGTTATCAAGAATTCTTATCATCGCATTTTTATTTATCGGAAAATCAAATGCTTCTCTAAAACAAACACACCCAGGTGTGGGACTCGGTCAAATGTCTTGTTGTGCGTCAACAAATTAGATATCTGTTGTGGCCTAGAGAATTAGTGAAGGACTTTTACTTGAATTATGCCCTGTAATTAGCAATGGCATCTTACTCTAAGTAGTTGTGCAAGTAAATAATTTAGTAGAAAAATTACAAATCTTCCATCCATGTATTTTTTGTTGAAATCACAGACATTTCTGTCAAAATTAGATAAAAAATAAATAAATAAATACAATGTGCAATTCAAAACACATCTAAGCAACAATACAAACCGGCCACTTTATTGGGTGCAACTTACTAGTACCTGGTTGAACCCCCTTTTGCCTTAAGAACTGCCTTAATCCTTCATTGCATAGATTTAACAAGGTACCAGAAATATTCATCAGAGATTTTGGTCCATATTAAAATCATAGCATCACACAGTTGCTGCAGATTTGTCGGCTGAACATCCATGATGCAAATCTCCCATTCTACATCCCAAAAGTGCTCTACTAGATTGAGATCTGGTGATTGTAGAGGCCATTTGAGTATAGTAAACTCATTGTCATGTTAAAGTATCCAGTCTACGATGATTCATGCTTTATGACATGGTGCATTATCCTGCTGGAACTAGCCATCAGAAAATGGGTCCACTGTGGTCATAAAGGGATGGACATGGTCAGCAACAATACTCAGGTAGGCTGTAGTATTGACAGGATGCTCAGTTGGTACTAATGGGCCCAAAGAGTGACAAGAAAATATTCCCCACACCATTACTCCACCAGCAGCAGCCTGAACTGTTGATACAAGGCAGGATGGATCCATGCTTTCATGTTGATGACGCCAAATTCTGACCCTAGCAGCCGAATGTTGCAGCAGAAATCGAGACTTATCAGACGAGGCAACGTTTTTCCAATCTTCTATTGACCAATTTTGGTGAGCCTGTGTGAATTGTAGCCCCAGTTTCCTGTTAGTTGACATGAGTGGCACCCGGTGTGGTCTTCTGCTGCTGTAGCCCCTCTGCCTCAAGGTTCAATATGTTGTGCAATCGGAGAAGCTCTTCTGCATTCCTTGGCTGTAACGAATGGTTATTTGAGTAGCTGTTGCCTTTTTATCAGCTCGAACCAGTCTGGCCATTCTCCCCATTCTCCAACAAGGCATTTGTGCCCACAGACCTGCCACTCACTAGATACTTTTTCTTTTTTGGACTATTCTCTGTAAACCCTAGAGATGGATCAGTGGTTTCTAAAATTCCCATACCAGCTCGTATGGTACCAACAAAGTCACTAAAATCACCTTTCTTCCCCATTCTGATGCTTGGTTGGAACTGCAGCAGATCATCTTGACCATGTCTATATGCCTAAATGCATTGAGTTTTTGCCACGTGAATGGCTGATTAGAAAATCGTGTTAATAGGCAGTTGGACAGGTGTACCTAATAAAGTGGCCGTCTTGTCTATAGGCTGTTTTTATGAACATCTTAGGAGCATAGAGCTGTGAAAGTCACATGGCATAAAAACAAGGTTTTAGTTACTTTTATATCGATGTATGATGTCTCCTTGATGTGACAAGTTTTATGTGAAAGAAATACCTGAACAACTGACACCAGTAGGTAAACAAGTGTGTGTTTCTAATGAGATGTGTAGAATGACTCTCACACCAGAAGTTCACAGTGTTCAATATGACAACAACAAACTAATTTTCTCCTCATGTAACATGCTTATCAGTTTACTCTATTCTCTGTTATTTCTTGTTTTTTTTAAACATGTGAAATGTGTATTTTTGAATTCTTCATAATGTACAATCTTATTAACCAAGTTAGTTTCACTTTTAATCTGAAAATAAAACAAAACATTAAAACTGCTTTTTGTAAGGTGGCTTGTACATCAGAATGCTGCTTTTCCAGATTTATCATCTCATCTTGACGTATTTTTTTTTGCTAGAATATATGTTGCAAGAGCTCGAGAACATTTATATGAGAGAGCAAACATACGATTTAGATGACTGAAAAGATTAGACCTAAACATGCTGTACCTGGGCTTGGCACTGTAGTCTTTTGTGGAGAATGATGGCTACATGTTAAACGGATAACTGGAAGAGTAAAATGCAAGAGATTTATGATTTTCGAACACATGCAAAGATAAATACCTGACACTGAGCTAAGAAAACCACACTCAACAAGAAACAGCTGTGCTACTTAATCAGTAACTATGACAACAAACAAAACTTAGGAAACAAAAACAAAGCATTGAAAAACAAAGCAATTGCTTAGAATAAAGGCTCTGTCTAAATTTACACACTTCATAGGTACTCATTTTGAATATGTACATAGTTTAAAAATACAAAAATGCTATGATCTTGTATGAAGATGAGAATGAATTCCAAATATACGTAATAATATCCATCACTATCATGTTACCTACCAGTGTTGTGTTGCTTCTACTGTCTTTGAGAAATCCATTGTGTGTCCAATTCAGTCATAGCTCATCTGGGTAATACTGTGAATCTGACATTATTATTTGTCATGTACGTCTACTGTTTTTAACAATCCGCCATTTGACAACAATTTTTTTTTTTGCTCACATCCCGTCTGTTTTTGTCAAGACAGTGTGAACAAGCATTGAATATAATCTTTTTAATTCTGATTTGTGCCACTTTCATATGTGGTTTTAAATTTAAAAACAGTATAGCGCATTAGTATGGTAAAGTTAATAAAATGCACAGTTGTCTGTAAAAATGGCCATAATAATAATCATCTTAAACATAATATGACGTTACATGCATAATATGATGTGACATGCTTTATTCTTAAGTTGACCAATATGAACATCTTTTCTATGCTATGCTATTTTTTTATTCAGATTTTTATTTTTTACATTGTTGTAAGCCAGTTTTGGAGCTCAAAAAGCCAGGTTACGTTCAGTTTTCATGTATGACGAAACCATACAGCAGCTGTTTCAGCTAGCACACTCTTTAAAACAAAGGTTCATTAAGCTTTTAACTTTATTTACCATACAACACTGGGTTGTTTCCAGCCAAATTTGGGTAAAATCTTTGGGTTAAAAAGACCTTCATTCAATATTTTTCATTTTGTATTCCACAAAACAAAGCAAGTAATTTTTATCTGTCTGAGTGAATTATGCCATCATATTAACTATACCTTTAAACAAGTGTCAAGAAAGAACAACAAATCTAGTTCAGCATGAACAGGTCATACACACAGATCATTGATCATGAACCGGAGTGTATTTGAGGTGTCACTGTGATTCATTCTAGGATTTAAGGTGGATGCCACATACTGGGTGTGTTTCGATAAAAATGCCTCTTCTGTCAGCTTTGATCAAACAACTATTCAGTTATGAATAATGAGAAACAATAAAAGGAACTGAAAATCCAGCATATA